TAAACCATTATTAAAAAGTGAAAATTTAATAAAACTTACCTACGTATCGTAATGAATAAACTAATGAAAATAAATTTTTGGTTTGAATATAGCAAAAATATTTTAAAAATAGCGATAAAACAAATATGAAATTTTATTAATGCTTATTAATGTTATCAAATTTCATTTTTTGGATATCAATTTTTTGGATATCAAAAATTTAGGAGGATTGGAAAAAAACAAAGAACTTTGGCTGTGCAAAAAAACTTTGTTTTAATAAATTTTCCCGAATCGATTTAACTATTTGCTTCTACAAGTTGAGGTTTGATGAAAAATATTGCATTTATTTATTGCATTTTTCGTTAAACATAACAAATCAACGAAATGAATCGCGGCAAATAAATTGCACGAAAATTTTCCTTCTCAAGAATTTAGAGTTTGATTGGAATTTGAACTGTTAATTGGAATTTTAGAGAAGCGCCTGCAAAATCGCGGTATGCGATGAAATCTTCGAGCGGACAAAATCTTCCTCTGCAACTGAAATATGATTTGGAAAATGCTACATTCTCATCTGAGTAATTTAATTTCCAATATAAGATAATTTTTAAAAACTGGAAAGAATTTTAGAAGATTTCAGTCTATTTATAATTTAATTGCTGATAAATATTAGGCAAGAACCAAGTACAAACACCTCAACGCAAAATAATACTGTAGAAATGTCCACTTTGGACGTAAATTCTTCAGCATCACAATTTGAATCATTCGACAGTGATTCCTCAGAAAGCGAGTCAGTAGAAATGGAAACAGTCTCAACATATCAGCCAACAACGATGGAGACAGTCTCAACGCATGAGACAACAAGGCTCGCCGACACCATGCAAGCATCACTTGGTTAATTATTATAACAATTAATTTTTCCATAAAGAAAAGGAACAAATTATATAAATTAATACAATAATGATGAAATAACGTTAAATTGCGAAAAACTGCGCTAATTCTTCCATTCTTTAGGATGCTCAAAATCGAACATTACTGTTAAAGTGCAGGAAAGAGTTCTTGCGCGTCATAAAACATATAGGTCAACACTTGAATATGTCATCGCAAAAATGCATGGATATCTGCCGGATGAAAGAAGAGAATTGGTGATTTTTTCAACAAATAATTTGCCAATTATTATTTGATAGAACTAAAGGAAGAAAGCTGATAAATGATAAGTGAACATAGTTTCGAATTATCTTTTTGCAAAGGAGTTAAAAAATGCTTTCGACATAATTTTTGAAGCATTTAGAAATGGAATTGTTCTTTGGAAGAATCAGCACAACTTTGGGCAAACGATTGCTCGTGGGCACATTCCAGCGCCGCTTTAGAGAACAAAATTGGTGAAAGTCTGACGTATTC